CTAAAAGGTGAAATTACGTTTTCCAGATGGAGGAGATGAGAGTATGGATCAGATCAATAATGTATAGTTGTCTGAAACCACATACTACTTTTAAGGAGTGAACAATTATTGTGACCAGAGCCTCAGATAATTGGAAAGACCAGCAGAAGATGGGAAGAGACAGTAGTCTGGAGATGACTGAGCAGTAAAGCAATTTTCTCAAATTCTCAAATTCATAATGTTTAAATTATAAAATTCATGATCTTCAATAATTGCACCAAACTTTTCCCAACTGCTAGTTTGTCTACATCAGTGGGCTTAACTGTTAAAAAAAAAATGTCTAATAGCAAGCTGATTAAAAATGTGCAATCTTGTTCTTACAAATAATATTCCTGACTCTATCTAAAACTCTATAAAAATGAAGGCAATATACTCTATGCAATGTATCCTTAAAGATGAGGTTTATGGATTTTGGAGAATTCAAGTGAAATTGGAGGAAAAATACAAAGCGTTGCTTGCCAGAGGCATGTTTTCTTTTCATTTTCTTTCATCAGACTATTTCTGAGGCACTGTGTTGTAAAGACATAGTTCCATGATGAATTTACTTTTGAATTTCCTGTCTGGTCACCTGTCTGTCCTTTAGTCAATCAACTCTTAGAATGGGTGTCTTGTGAATTTAGTCCCTGGCACATACACAGAGCTTTCAATAAAATGTGTTGCTCTGTTTGGAACTGGCATGAGGACCTTAGCTATACATACATATAACTACAAACTTCTTGGTCTTTATTAATTGCTTATTGTGTTCAAGATACTGGACTAAGTTCTATCAAGAATGAAATAAGAGAAAAGAGAGAATTGGATACACTATTTCCACGCAAGGGATTTTGGTTCTAAAGCATCTATGATGAGGTCAATCCATTAATGTGTCCTGTTTTAGATGAATGACCCCAAATTCCTTCTTTTAAAAACATGATACCATCTGAAATTTGAAAAAAAAAATGTATTGATCAGGAATAATTTTTCAGCAATCTAGCTTATTATGAAAAGATAAAGTTTTCATGAAGCACTCTTCTGATTGAGCTCTTTTTAAACCTGTTAATATCAGTTTTAAATAAAGGAAAACAGACTTCAAGCCCAGAATCTCATGATCAGCATCAGGAGGCTCACTAATCAATAAAAGGAGAAGGACTTATCAAAACACATACAGCATGACTTCTAAGATTCATGAATGCCTGATCAGGAGAGCTTTGCTCAAAGAAGTTATGATTTAACATGAAAAATAGATGATAGAAAAGTCAACAAGCAATAGGTGTGCATAAGAAGGGAAAGCATTCCTAAGTAGAATTCATAAGAGGTATTCATAAGAAGGGAAAGATATACTCAATCCTGAAAGATGAGTAGGATTTTCATAGACACTTTTTGGAAGAGAGAAATAGTCATTGCTGGGATGGCATGTTTATATAATAATATAAATAATACAAAATAACAACAACACAAATAATAATAGTTTCTGCTTCCATCATTTATTGAACCTAATGATGGTCTTGATGTGGCATTAGGTGGTTTAGCTTTATTGTCTTATTAAATTCTTATAATGATCCTGTAAGGTACAGGAGAGAAGTTAAAGAGATGAAGAGACTTAACTCCAGTGGGAATGGAGTTCCCCTACGTGTAATGGGCTGGTTGAGAAATAAAAACTAAGAGAAATAAAATGGTAAAAAAAAAAAAAAAACCACAGAACACAGAAAGTAATTGCAAAAGCACAGGCAAGCTGAAAGGATGGATGGAGCTTCTAGACAAAATGGAGCCCACACCTGCTCTATTTATATGGGGAAATATGAGAGAGATTCTACAGAATGTTCTTCTCCAAAAAAAGGCTTAAGGTGGGCTGTTCAGTGGTTACGCCCATCTCCATAACTACTATGAGGAACCTTCCTGGCAGAGCGGAGAGAAAGGTCATGTGCATTGGGCAATCTGATGCTGTGGAAGAGCCATGGATAGTTCACAGTACCAGGCCTAATGCTCCTTGGCTTCAGGGCGAGAGAAGATCCTCAAGTATTTCACGGATGGCTTCCCGCACTTAACTGAACCTGCTTGTTTACAATTGATTTCCCCTGGGAACATAGATGTAAACTAGTTGATCTGGTTCTATATAACATTTGATTGAATACTGAACAGTTCTGTTCAAATGAAGGATTTGTTAATATGTCCAAACACACTCTGCTGTCATGTATATCCAAAAAGAACAATTTTTTTTTAAATGAAAGATTTGTTTTGAGCAGGCCTTGAATCCAAGTTTAAATAATTTGGTTCGTTTGTGCTTATCATCTTTTTCTATAGAAAATGGAGATATTCCAGAAATATCCTGTTAAAAAACAAAACCTTATTTATGAGTATTTCTTTGAGAGTTCTATGCAATAGACCAGGCGAATGAACCAAAGGCAGAATCCCAATCAAGAGTGCAATAGAAATGGATAGGACTGTGTTGGACCTAGGATCTCCTTAATCCTGAACATTTATGTTGGGAGGAAAATATCAGAAAGCAAAGTTGCAAAGACTTTTAAAATTCTAAGTTTAGAAATATATAGTTGTAAAATGTACACCTATTTTAATGGAGTAAGTAAAAACAGCTAATGACTTAATGTAATCCACTGTGCAGTGGGTAAATGAAAAGGAAAGCACAGACAAGTTAGAAAGAGCAGTACATCAGGTATAGAGATGACCTATTCCAGGAATTCCATCTGGGATCCAGGTGTAATCGAAAAAAAAAAAAAAAACAGACCTCCAAATAAAGAAGGGTAGAAAGAGAACTGCAGCCAACTGAGGACTAAGTAAGGTACAGACCTCTTTCAAGGGCAGCACTGAGATACTGAAGTGCAATAAGGAGCCAACTTCCAGGAGAAGCAGCCAAGACTGCTTCTAAAGCCCACTTTTCTGGACCTTGATAAGTGGTTGTTGATCTCCATTCCAAGAAAGGAGCTAGGCATTCTGCAGACCTGGAGACTCATCTCAGTATTTTGGGGTAAGAGTCAGGAAAGAAATGACAGACCTCTCCTAATTCCCTTGTTTGAAAAGGAGATGATTTCCTTATAAGTTTGAGTAACATTACCTACTTAGACCACAATTTTATGATAACCTGTCTCTGATCTTAAAAAAATCTTCCTAGAGTCCTAGACATGAGTCAAAACCCAAACGTTGGCTGCCTGGGCACTTATGAGTTCCTACTAGATCTAGAGTCCAGATTTCTTGCTGTTTTCTAATACAGTTTCTGTAATGTGGAATATTGGTGATTTATTAGTTTGTGCTTTTCGAGAGAGATAAATCAATTAAAATTAGTTAACTATGTTCCTGGGCTGAGAAGTGGTTCCACTCCCTTAGAAATATATTCTGGTAGTTTCCAGCCAGTTTCAATTTTCCTAAACTGAAATCTGTTATAAGATAAAATGTTTTCTATTAAATTTGATAAGTTTAAGTAAAACTACATGATATACTTCCATCAAAGGAAATGAGTATCTTTCTTCAAAGCAGGATCGATTTGCACCTGTGACAGATGATGTTTTTCAAATTTAGCTGCAATTCAACAATGGTATTTTGATGTCTTTGAAATAATTGACATAAAGAATGATTCTCTATTTTAAACTGTGTTTTATTTCAGTTTGGTACTACATAAATAGAAATATTCCGGAGGGCTCTTATTTCTTGCAGTTTTGCTTTTGTAAACTATTTTGCATCAAAAATTAAAAACTGCTTTTTTAACAAAAAAAATCAAAATTTAAAACAGAAAGCATTTTCTCATTTTTATATTGGAAAACATTTGTTCTTCCTTTTGAGACTAAATTGTATGATGCATAATAGATCACCTGTACTATTTCACATATTTTTAATTGACAAATCTTTATTTCAAGCAAATAGATTATATTTTCTTTGGGTTTTGGTTTTCAAAATTCCTGAAGACTTGACAATCAAGCTAAACACTAATTGCTTTGCTGGGTAATATCTTTGCTGAGATCATTATAAATCCACTAAATGAAAGCTCAGAGGCAGGTGTTGTTCTACAATAGTCATAACTTTAAAATCTTCCATCTCTGATTACTATAGACTCATGGTGAAATTGCCCATTGTTCTCAGAAAACCAAAATAAAGACAATGCAATTTAATATAAATATTTATATTAATAATGTTAATAAATAATTATTGTTGTTTATAAAAATGTAATTATCCTTTAAATATGAGATTGTCTTTTGCTTGATAAAATCATTATTATAGTTTGCAGTGAGTGGGTGTTACCATTTTTAACAATCTCACTTAGCCAAATGAGAAGTTGTCAATCTTATGTTAGCCCCCATTCTCTGTCTTTGAAGCCAGACAAAACACCGAAAATCTAGAATAGGAACTAATGCTATATATGTCAATGGGAACTTCTGTGGATTTTCTTTCCATCAAGCCCCAGGACTTAAAAACCTTATGCATAACCTATTCATTGCCTGATTTTTTAAAGAAAGAATAGGGAAAGAAGCAAATTAGAATTAAAGAGTTCTTTAGCATCTATGACATTTTTCTTAGAGGATTAATGTTCTATCTTGGTTTCAATCAATACCCAAAGAGCTGGATTTAAAATATCATTGATTGCAGAAATATATATTACAATGTAATGCCTCAAAGTAGTATTAGCATACCGGTGATAATTTAAACATTCCTTATGCCAAATCTACCTTGCAATACAGATTTTTCTCCTATACTCCGGAACTGATTTTGGCATTATTTAGTTATTTTATAAAATATTTCTAGATTCTGTTATCCCTTTGTATAACCTCAAAGTTTCAGGATCAATTACTTATGACACTGAGAATCCCCATTTATAAATGGCACTGTTTTCCACTATTCCAGGAGCTGATAAAATTGAAAAGTATCCTGTGTAACTTGACAGACTTGTGAAAATGTGGGGTGCCTTGAGTTGTGTTCTAATTGAACAGTGGCACGTTTGATGTTCTGTTGTTTTCTTTTCCTTCTCCCCCTTCTAGTGAAGTCAGACGAGCTACAGACAATCAAGAAAGAACTAACCCAGATCAAAACTAAAATTGACTCCTTGCTAGGGCGCCTGGAGAAGATTGAGAAGCAGCAGAAGGCAGAGGCAGGTAAGTGAAGAGAATCTGTGGCCACAGACAGGTTGATATTAAACCAGTGAAACCATCAATCACAGACACTACAGGCCCGGGGGAGACACTTGCTAAGTTTACTAAAAGTTTAATACAGATACACAAAGTCTTTAAGCTAAGAACTGCAACAATGGGATATGATTTCATTACTTTCAGAAAACAGGAACTAATTTCTCTAACATGTATATGAAAAGGAAAAGTATTTTGATAGCATGCTCAGAAATAATTGGATTATAATTGAAAGCTTATTTTTAATATCAAGTAAACTTTAAGACAACAAAAATCAATAATGCTATCAGACCAAAATAATTTTCATATTTCAATAAATTGACTGGAGCAAAATTAACAGGTTTCAAAAATCATTCTAAATCCCAACTCCTGCCATTGCTGCCACCCCATGAAACTTCAGTGCCAAATTTCAGGAACGTAGAGTACAACAGCATGCAGCTAACCACCCACAGGCCAAATTATTTGATGATGTCCTTTGCAACTTAAAGACCTATCTCCTTTGAATTATCAGATCTTACACTAGTACATTCTTATACAATTGTAATGCTCTTTTCATGTGGCTACAGATGTTTGAATAATCACAGACTGTGAAAACAGGAATAATAAAGAGCTAGTCCATGGTTTGATGATCTTGTTCTATAAGTCATTAGATATCTCAGAGGCCTCCTTAAAGATGAGGTGGGAGTTAAGAGGAGGTGATAAATTTATGCCTCCTCCAAGTCCAACCCTTATTCCAACCAGTACAACTCTACCTGTATTGCTTTTATATATTAAGATTCCATCATATATAAATAAAACAAAATTTACATTAAAAAAATATTCCATATAAGTCTTAATTTGCTGGAAGAGTTTTGCTCTATATGTGTAATAAGAATTGGAATGCATTCTGCTGTCATATACAACAAATTAGAATAATAAATAAATAAATAAAAATCAATAAACACACAATTCTAAAAGCCATTAATAAATCCCACCTCCACATCTCACAGAAGAGAAAACAAAGGCTCTGGAAGGTAAATTAACTTTTCTATAGTCACATGTCTAGTTAGTGATAGACCTGAGTCTAGTGACCAAATCCAGTGCCCTCCAATTTTTACCTTAATTTCACATTTTCCACTGGGGTTGGTCCCAGTATTTCTCAAAAGTGCATTAGTCAGGTAGCATCTAAATTATGAGAACTGACTGAGACCTCCAGCCCTTGAACTAGAGAAAACAAGAGTCAGCTGGTTTTTAACTCATCATGGGGGTGAGGATCAGAGCTCTCTTCTGGTGGTGAGCCTTACAGGGTTCAAGAATGAAAAAAAGCCAGAAGTCATGGTTATGGTATAGTGGATGCAAGAAATAAAAAGTTTAAATTCTCACCCATCACTTCCTGAATTTCAGTTTTCTCTTTTATAAAATGAGGAATAGTATGACCACCTTACATTGTGAGAAATGAATTAAGTAGCATATGTAAACTGTACAAAACAGTAACCAACCAGAGCTATAGGCTTAATAACTGGAGTTGTCAGGGATTAGTACCAATACACACAAATATAAGCAAATATTTACTACTCCAAGATGAGCATCCCTAATTTGAAAATCTGAATTCCAAAATTCAAAATGTTCTGAAATCTGAAACTTTTTAATCACTGTTTTATGCTAAAAAATTTTTGAAATTTTGGGCATTTCAGATTTCAGAATTTACAATTAGGGATTTTCAACCAGTAAAAATCTATACAAACATTCCAAAATCTAAAATAGTATGAAACTCTTCTGATCCCAACAATTTCAGATATTTTACCTGAACTTTCAAACAGCTCATTTTTACAAAAATACAAGCCATGTCTTGTAGCATGTAATAGATTCTCACTAATATTTGCTAAGTTAATATAGATGAGAAATGATAGATAAAATTGTTATAAAAATTTTTTTTAAATTGTTATCTATCTATCATTTCTATCTAAAAATTCCTACAATGAATATATTTTTATACTGAAAAAAATATACTGCCTACACTTCCTTAGTAAAGAAATTTAGATTTTGGAAAGTTTTTATATGCTTTTTGTGGCACTAATCAAGTGTTCCTGTAACCGAAATATCCTGTGTTGTTGCCTAAATCAATATTTCCCTTTGAGGAACTTGTGTGAAATTCATTATTATGTAAAACAACCCTTACAGCAAAAGACTTTGATAACCAATTTGCACTTCAGTTTAAAGGATTATGGAGAACTCATTTAAATATAAATCACCTCAAAGAGAAAATGTGATCCTTATTCTAACATATTATACTTTCCAGTTTCCTGTAATGAATAATACTTTCCACAGATTTTCTTAGAAGATCATCTATATATGTAACAGTAAAATTCAAACCTCAGTTTTTGCTTTATGAAAACTGTCATCTTACTTTGGCACATGTCTAAATTTTCCCAGTCAAGACAGTTGCTTTTAGAATGATAAGAGTTGGTCCTTTTATGTTTATGTCTTTCTTATTTTAACATGGTATGACAAAAATGAATGTATTTAAAATTTGTAACTTCATTCTCTTAGAAATTGTCTCTGGAATAGCATCTATATTTATGGAAATAGGATAATCATATTCTATATGCTTTATAGAAAGAAATCAGAGTTGAATAGAAAGGGTTAAAACTACATTATGGAAAATGGAGTGAAATGTGTCCAAATTCCCCCTATATACTTAAGGGAGCACTCATTTTAATAATTCATTGAGAATTAATTGGTAGCTAGTATTTACTCTTCATCATGTCTCTTCTGTACACATTTCATTTCCCAATATACTATTAGTCATTTGATAATGAAAGTTTCCAGCATAGATGTAGGAACAGGAGGGAAATGAAGGACCAGAAACAAGACACCACAGGAGATGGCAAATTCAAAGCCAGCCTCAGCAACTTAGTGAGGCCTTCATCAAGATCCTGTCTCAGAATAAAAGATAAAGGGAGGTAGAGATGTGTCTCAGTGGTTAAATGCCCCTGAATTCAATCCCCCAACGAAACAAACAAAAAAAGAAGAAGAAGACATGACAGGACGTGGAGCATGCCCTGAATTCAAGTTTCATAGTATCATATTTTTTTCCAATGACTTTGGGGCAGGTAGATAACAAGCAAATTTGAGAGCAATTGAAAACTGGGGGTGAGGTGAAAGTTTACACTGTTATGATAGAAATACCAAGCATTCTCACCTTCAGCTGTCAGATCACTGAGGCAGGTGCTGGAAGAGTCTTTAGTTGGGAACATGAGCGATCCAGGAGTTCCCAGAGAGGTAGTCAACAGGTCACATACAGAAAAAGTATCCTTCTATCTTACAAAACAGCAGTGTTTTAATACTCTACTGTAAATGTGAGAAAACAGAGATCACCAAATAGAAGAAACATAACAAATACTTTTAACCCACCCCCCCCCAAAAAAATGAGGAAACAAGTTGTACAGAATAAAACTTAAAAACATGAAAAAACATTGATTAATACTCTGAGAGAAATAAGAGAAGACAGACACTATATTCATGAAATAAGAACACAAAACTATAAAACTGAGGATTTAGAGGGCAGGTTAAAGAGCTTTTAGAAATTAGTATACTATAAACAAACAATTCAATACAGGGATTGAAATGCAAAATTGGAGAAACTGTTCCAGAAAATAAAATAATAAAATAGAGATGGACAATAGGAAGGAAAGAATATGACAATTACAGGATTAATATCAGAATAACAAGATTCCAGAAATAAAAGAGGAGAAGTACCATTAAAGAATTTTTCAGGAAAAAAAAGAAATATCAAAACTAAAGGAAATAGGGCTGGGGTTGTAGCTCAGTGGTAGAGTGCTTGCCTAGCATGTGTGAAACACTGGGTTCAATTCTTAACACCACATATAAATAAAATAAAGGTACACTGACAACTGAAAATATTTTAAAAAATGAAACTGAAGGAAATAGTTAACCAGATTAAAAAGATCCACCAGATACCTGAAAATAGATGTACATCCAAGCATGTAATTGTAATATTGCGGAACAGGGAGACAAAAAGATTCTATAAACATCCAGTGAAAATTAAAGGGGAGAGGAAGGAGAGAACAGTGTTCATATAAAGAAGTAGGAATTAGAAAGCCTTAGCATGGAGTCTTTCAACAGCCACACCAAAAGCTACAAGGCAATGAAAACATGATGTTTTACAGCGGAAAGTCCCTTTAGTTGGTGGTTCCTGGTTAGTTATGCTTTAGTTTTCCTTGGCTGTGTCCATTCTCTCTGAGTTGAGTTTCATTTACTTCCATAGGAACCAAAAGCATGGAAACTGTCTCAGTTAATTATTTTAATGCACCCTTTCTGTAAAAAGTACTGAGAAATGCACTTCACCAAAACAAGGAGGAAAACTAAGAAAGAGGGAAGCATGGCTTTTCTAAAGTAAGGAATCCAAGGGTGGGTGGTGAAGGGACTCATCAGAAGATAAAGAAGATTCCAGAAGAAAAGCTGTGCAAAAGACTTAGAAGGAAATGAGTCCAGATCAGTATTTCATGCAGGCTCTGGAAGACCTTTATAAGACAAGGACTTTGATTGAATAACTAGTGAGTAGGAGAGTAAATTGGTTGAGATGAAATTTACACACTGAGGGAGAGAGGGGTACATTTGCATAAATACATAAAGAAATAGTAGGGAACTTATTTTTTATTCCTAAGCAGTTTCTAATTCTAAATAAAGTAAATTATTGTTCAGGAAAGAAAAACTATTCATTTTATGATAACAACTTAGCTGTGCAAAGTATCTCCATAGTTCAAATTATGCAAAAACTGGAAACTGATCTAATCAGATTTACGTTATTACAATCTAGGGATATGAGAACTGAGTGGCAATTGTAGGGCCAATACCTGAATCCATAGTTTCCTAAAAGTAATGTCAACAGATAATGTATAAAGCTGGTCAAGAAGTAGCCAAGTCATTGAGCAATGTGAGGGCCTATTTTATTTTATTTTTTATTGATT